ATGATATAGTGTTCTTCCTCATCTCTTATTATAGTCTTTGGATTAAAATCTAATTTGTCTGATATAAGGATTTACACCCCAGCTTTCTTTTGATGTTCATTAGCATGGTAAATGGTTTTCCAGCCCCTCACTTTCAATCTGGGGGTGTCTTTGGGTCTAAAATGAGTCTCTTGCGGACAGCATATCGATGGGTCTTGTTTTTTTATCCAGTCTGATACCCTGTGTCTTTTGATTGGGGCATTTAGCCCATTTACATTCAGGGTAACTATTGAAAGATATGTATTTAGTGCCATTGTATTGCCTGTAAGATGACTGTTACTGTATATTGTCTCTATTCCTTTCTGGTCTATGTTATTTTTAGGCTTTCTCTTTGCTTAGAGGACCCCTTTCAATATTTCTGGTAGGCCTGGTTTGGTGTTTGTAAATTCTTTTAGTTTTTGTTTGTCCTGGAAGCTTTTTATCTCTCCTTTTATTTTCAGTGAAGCCTAGCTGGATATAGTATTTTTGGCTGCATATTGTTCTCATTTAGTGCTCTGAATATATCATGCCAGCCCTTTCTGGCCTGGCAGGTCTCTGTGGATACGTCGGTTGCCAATCTAATGTTTCTACCATTGTAGGTTACCTACCTCTTGTCCTGAGCTGCTTTCAGGATTTTCTCTTTGTCTCTGAGACTCGTAAGTTTTACTATTTGATGTCGGGGTGTTGACCTATTTTTATTGATTTTGATGGGGGGGAGGGTCTCTGTGCCTCCTGGATTTTGATGCCTGTTTCCTTCCCCAAATTAGGGAAGTTCTCTGCTATAATTTGCTCCATATACCTTCTGCCCCTTTCTCTCTTTCTTCTTCTGGGATCCCAATCATTCTATTGTTTCATCTTATGGTATCACTTATCTCTCGAATTCTGCCCCTAGTGCTGGAGTTCTGCCGTTCTCATTGATCGGTAAGCTTGGTCTTGGCTGGCTGTTCTTGCTGATCTCCTGGGGGAGGGGCCTGTTGCCGTGGTTCCCAAATGTCTTTGCCGGAGGCGGAATTGCCCCGCCGTTGCCGGTCCGGGCTAAGTAATCTGCTCGGGTTTGCTCTCAGGAGCTTTTGTTCCCTGCAAGCTTTCTGTACAGCTTTGGAGGATGAGAGTGAAAATGGCGGCCTCCCAATCTCCGCCCCGGAGGAGCCGAGAACTCAGGTCCCTGCTCCTCAGTGAGACCCCAGAGAAAAGCAGTCAGTCACTCCCGTCCCCCTGGTCTCCGGCTGCACTCCGTGCTCACCCGGCCTGTGACCGAGCATTTCTATCTCGGGCGCCCAACCCCGTGTGGAGTCTCCAAACCCCGCAGATCCCTGCAGTGTGCTCCTGTGCAGCTCCTCCCGAGGGAGGAAGGGGCGTCTCCCTGGATCTGCTGCTTGTTGGGTCCCTGCTGGAGGAGCAGTGGCCCGACTGTGCAGCGGATCATGGTTTATGGCAACCCCGAGCTGAGAGCCCACGCCTCGGCTCAGTCTCTGCAGCCGGCTTCCCCGCTCTGATACCTGGGAGCTCTGCTGCACTCAGGCACCCCGTGTTTCTGTGACCCCGAGGGTCCTGAGACCACACTGTCTTGCGAGGGTTCCACCCCCCGCTTAGCCACTGGAGGGACATCCCTCAGTGGATCAAACTTCTAAAAGTTCTGATTTTGTGCTTCGTGGCTTTATCACTTGCCGGTAGCAGCTGATGGAGTCCCCTTCCCCCCGCCATCTGTCCTCCTGAATATCGCCTTGCATTCACTTCTCCACATGTCCTACCTTCCAGAAAGTGGTCGCTTTTCTGATGAGTTGTTGCTATTCTTTTCTTCGATCTCCCATTGAGTTCGTAGGAGTTCAGAATGGTTTGATACCTATCTAGCTGAATTCCTGGGACCAGACAAAATTTAGGTCTCCTACTCCTCTACCATCTTGCTCCTCCTCATCCTATTAAGTTTTACATTATTATTTTACTCCGTCCTTCTCCAGTAAAGCTTCTGGAAAGTCTAAACTTACTTTCATGTCTATCCTTCCTTAAACTCCAGTAAGCTGGCTTTAGTTATGTATTCTGTAAAATCTATTGAAAAGGTCACAAGATGTAATGAATATTTTGCTCAATCTCTGTAGCATCTGGAATTGTTGGTTACTGAGCTCTGAAGCCACATGGCCTAGGTTTGATTTCAGCTCTCTGCTTACTAGCTACGTGGATGTGGGCAGTCTATTCAACCATCCTGGGCTCCATTCTATGTGTGGAAACTGGGGTAACACAATGCTCTTGATGAAGTGTAACAGACTACTGTCCTTACTACTAAACCTAGATTCCCATGCTGCTCTTGTTTTCCTCTTGCTTCTGTGACCCTGCTCCATCACCCCTTAAGTGATTCCTCAAGATCCTATCATTGGTCTGAGGCTCTTTCCCCCTTCTTGGGTGATTCAATACAGAATCATTATTCTAACTGAATATTCCAATGCAAAATCACTGGATGCTGATCATTCCTAAATCTGTCTCCAGACATTTTCCAAAGTTTCAGATTGAAATCATCCCCCATCCCTATTATTGTATACATTAGTTTAAGCTCTTAAGCTTCTGATTCCAGTCTTTGCTCCTCCTTAAATTTATTCTCTCCTCTAGCCAATGATTTATATAGAATCCAAATCTGACCATGTTGCCTACCCTGGTATACTGAGGTACATAGACCAGGTCCAAGTTACTCAGGAAGATGCGTAGTGCCCTCTATTAACCAGCCTCTACCACCTTTCCAACTTCTGCCAATTTCCACCTCATATGAGTAATACTGAACACTGCTATCCTAGGTCCCTGGCAAAACTTTCATTTTTTATTATTTTATGCTGTAATTATCTGTTTCCGGGTCTGCCACTGCACATTTTCCAAGGCAAGACTTTCTTACCCTTGTATTTTTTTAAAGGTTTTCCCTCAAATTCCTAGGGAACATGTTAAAAAAATGTTTTATTCTAGTTCCACCCCAGGCTTCTTCATTTACATTTAGTGGGAAGTAAAGGATATATTGGGGAAGTTCTCAATCCAACAGCTGTGTTTATGCAATGTCTTTACCAACATACTTTTACAGGTGACTAAAAGTACCCGAGGTAAGTGAGTTCAAACACTAACATGCATACCTCTTTCATCAATGGTTTGAATTGTGGGAATACATTAATGTATCCAAATGTGGAAATGGAGCACTTAACAAAAAGAGCATTTCTAATATTATAATTATGTTAGTGAGGAATGAGAGAAATAGGGGGAAAAAAGACATTTTATATATAACATTAGGTAACCCTGTGATGTATTTTTTAAGTAAACCCAATGGCCCTATTAAAATAAAATGAATCAAATACCATTCAAAGTACTTAAGAGAGTTAAATGATATGCATACATTCTAAACCTATCTTCAAATGGATATAATATAGGTAAATAATACTTTATATTTAATATTTTACCTACCAGAAATGTAGGTAGGGCACTACCTAAAATATCTAAGTATAAGAATATAAGTGATTTGGGCAGTGGGAAAAACAGGTTAAGTATACATAGAAATGATTTCAAATGCTTTCCCTTAACAAGAATTTATTTAACTCTTCTATGTCCAGCATAGTTGGACACTAGCTCAGTTTGGATCTAGAGCAAGAAATGAAAATGATAGTGACATATCTTTGATAATTTTCATAGAGAATGTTGACTTCCTGGTGTAGGGAAGAAGCAAAGCACTAATAAAAGGTACTGTCTTTCTCAATCTAAGTAATAGCATTTTAAGATTTCATATATCAAAAATTCCCTCCTAAAAATTTTGTTCTCTTGTTTCTCCAAGAAATTCCCACATTCCCAGTAAGTTCTTACTACAAGTTAAGAATGTGTGTAAAATCAACAGACACGCTCTACACAAAATCTAAGAACTTTATTTTGATATAATAACAAACTAACTGGTGGTCTGAAATCCTATCCGAGAACTTAATTTGTGTCAAAACAGGAGAAACTAAAAGACAATTCTTTTTGGGGTTTATAATGCGGGGAAAAAAATTCTAGTTTGAAGCAGAAAATGAAGATGCAAATTTTAGAGCCATCATGGAGAAATGTATAATTTGCTTGCTTATATGCTCAAATTTGAAAAGCAATCTATTAACCATAAAAATAAATCAATTATATTTGTCAAAAGAATGAAACATATTCATTAGATATACTGTGGAGTCTTTGGTTACAAAACAGATTAAAGCAAATGCTAAGGTAAATGTGAATACATTCTAAGATACGAAACCTTGACAATTTTATCTCTAATAGGAAACTCCTATACATACTAAACATATTTAACAGCATAAAGAGGCTAATACAACTTTCAAGACAAACCTTAAAATCTGTAATGATAAATAAAAGTATTTTAAATTGTCTTCAAGTTTAGAATGGTAAAGCCTAGCCAAAAAAATCTAGTATACAGGTAAAATTAACAAAATAATCAAGGTAGGCTTTCAAAATGGTTTTTAGGTACCAAAAGAATGTGCTTATCTCAATAGCAAATAGATTATTGCTATTCTATGGTAAGACATGAGTTGATTCTTTAAAAGGCCCAAATTAGTAGGAAAAGGAAATACTATTTCTGTTTTTACAAACATATTTTCATTTCACTTCCTTTGAAGAGAAATGTCCCTCATTCTTAGGAAGAATGGAGAAACAAAATAAAACAAACCAAAAAAGCCCTGAAAGACTAGGGCCATTAATTTAGCTTTGCCTAATACATTGTGTAACAACAGCTACACCCAGTGGCCAGAAGTGAGTAGTGAAGTTTTGTAGCTATAATGTTACAGAAAAAGGTAAATTTGTAAATAGGGTTTTTTCAATTTATTTATGGTTTTAGGGTAAGGGTTATCTTTCATCACAAATTATGTTTTAAAGAAACACTCAAGAATTTTTGGGGGAACAGATGCCTTAGCTCATAAGCTTGAAACAAGTATCCACATTAATTCAGTTTTTAAAAGTAGCTAAAATAAAACTCAAACCAGAGAGAGAACATACAGATACTTTATTGCTCACCTTTCACACAAAGCACACCTCCAGCCATTTTCTTTCACAGCTTGACAATGTTTACGTATACAAAAACCCAGCAAGAAGCTTCATGTTGATTTCAGTAAAGGAGAATGTAAAACATCAACTCAGCCAGGCTTTTGTTTTCTGCAGCAATAATAAAGGGCCTCCTGCACTAAGCAAAAATCTGTCCTCTTACTTGGTAGTGCATTTCTTCCATTACAAAAAAAGTCTCCTGCCCAAAGCAAACTAACTTGTATTTGCTGAGCCAGTGGTATTAACTCGTGCATAAAACAAATTTGTTTGCTGTTTCTTCTAACAGATTTCAAGTAAAAATAAGGTTTAAGGAGGAACTTGTTTTGAATGGATGCAGGTCAGTCTGAATTGCTATACTATATAAATGCCTACATGTACTATAGGTTCACAACTTAGTTTGCTTTTATAATCTTTACGGATTTTGGCCGTGTTCAAAGTTTTCAGAGTTGAGCATATGGTACAGTATTCCATCAAAAGGATAAGGCTACTGAATGTGCTATCTGTGGAAGAGCTCATTTAATAGGAACTGACCTAAAAGTCTATCATGAAGCAAATGTGGCAAAATCTCTCTGAATAAAAAGCCAATCAGGGCAGAACTGTGCTTGGAAAATAGGCATTAGAATTACTTTTAGGAAAACACATACAGATGGACTGTTAATATGAGGAAGATTTCCTAGTTGAAAATCTAAAAAAATCTAGGAGAATCCTCATTTCTAAAACCGCTTTTTGAAAACTACTTATTCAAGTAATTTCTTCCCAAAAAAGTATGCATGCTCTGACTGTGGAATTAGTCTACTGGTCAATTAAAGGCAATTTTAATTACCTTTTAAAAAGTTCTTTATATAAAGGAGAGATGTACGTGTTTCTCAAATAAACTTTGTCATGTAAGTCCTTTAAAAAAAAACAAAACAAAACACAAACCCAACAGAATTGAATGAAGACCTACAAATACTTATGCCAAGCAGGAATCTGCCTGCCACCTGTGGTCTCACATTAATTCAAAATTGATGCTGGACTCAGGATTCTGAAACTAAGTTTCTATTACTTGAGCTCTAGCAAAGTGTAAGGTTCTGTAGCCTCAACTAGTATAATGTCTTCCCTGTCCAAATCCAGAATGATTATACTGATAACCTCCATGCTGGAAGTGCTGTTCAAATTGTCCCCCTTGGTGGTAATTCTGGCTCCCCCTTGCTCCCCAACCTCCTCCCTGGCCTCCACGACCACCTCGGCCTCCGCGACCACCTCTCCCTCCACGACCACTGCCTCGATCATTATGGTGCCCACCATCTTGGTATCTATTGTCCTGCTGGTATCCACCACCCTGGTATCCACTTCCGGTATATGTAGATGTTTGGAAGCCGCCATAACCACCGCCTTGATAGCTACCACTGTGGCCACCACCATGATAGCCACCCGGCTGGAAACCCGAATCTCGGTAACTACCATCTTGGTAGCCACCTCCTCCTCCACTCCCCCCATCTGTCCAGCCTCCTTGATGCTTATTTCCTCTTCCTCCCCCTCGGCTACCATGGTCGTAGCCACCACGTCCACCTCTCCCTCCTCCTTGTTCATGACCTCCTCGTCCTCCATATGAGGAATGTTCATAACCACCTCTCCCTCCTCCTCGGCCTCCTGCTTGCTGCTGGGGGCCATCTTGCCTTTTCTGCCATGGTGGCATCTCTGGAGGTGGAGGTTCAATTTCATTGGGTCTACCTCCTCTGTCAGGCACCCTGCCCATCAACACCTATGGGATAAGAAAGATATTTTAAACTACGGTATTTTATTAATAGAAATAAATGTATATTTGAAAGAAAATAAAAGGTACTTCAGTCACCTTATTGATGGCACAGGCAGTCTTTTCTCTTATAGAGCCACTGCTTGTCCTTAAAATCTTTGACAAGTCTTGTCTTGCAGCCAGGAGGTGGGCAACAGAAATAGTACTTTTAGGAGATAAAACTGAGCGTTTCGGCTGATAAACCTTTGCTAATTTTTCTGTCTGACTCTGTCGAAGCAAAGTGTTCAAAGACAAAAGTGAATTTTCAAAATGACATAGAAACACTGACGTATTTTTTTTTTTTTTTATTTGAGAGTAAGAGCTAGAGAGAGAGCGGGCATACACACAGAGGGAGAGAGAGAGAGCATACACACAGAGGGAGAGAGAGAGAGAAGCAGACTCCTCACTGAGCAGGGAGCCCGTTGCGGGGCACAATCCCAGGACCCCGGGATTACGACCCAAGCCGAAGGCGGACCCTTAACCAACTAAGCCACCCAGGCGCCCCAGAAACACTGATATTAAATAAGTTAAAGACTTCCAAAATGTCTGATAATAATAGTTACTAGGCTTAAGATGGGAGGAAAAAAGTTAGTTATACTCACCATTGTTCCTACCTAGTCAAGAACTACCCTAAGACACAGCTGTCAGACTTGCTGATACAGCAAGGAATAATGTTGGAAAGGCGACACACAGGGTAGAGGAGCTTCCTTTAGGACTGTGGGAGTAAAAAGGTCCCCCCTGACATTGGTCTCAAACATACTCATTCTATCTATCTAAATATAAGGATGTAAACTCATTTCAATAATTTTGCTTTTGAATTTTCCCATCATGTTTGCTTACAATGAGATAAAAAATGTTAGCTACAGTTAATTTGTTCTAATTAACAGGATACATTTCTTCTGAAGTGATTCCCCCCTGTGTAATACTTTCCTCTATTATAAGTAATAAGTAAGAAAGAAAAGTCTACTTTAACCATTTAGTAGAAGTATAAGTTAATGATTAAGACTGTCAGCTCCTGAGAGACAAACCACTGGGAATCTGGGACACCTTGGCACGTCACTTCAATGTGTGTGAAACACAAGACCGCAAAAGACATAAACAGAAATTTCACACACGAGAAAATAAAGTTCGAACAAATATAAGAAATGTTTTCCAGACAGGAATCAACAAATGCAAATTAACCGGGGTGCCTGGGTGGCTCAGTCGGTTAAGTGGCTGCCTTCAACTCAGGTCATGATCCCAGAGTCCTGGGATCAAGCCCCGCAGCGGGGAGCCTGATTCTCCCTCTCCCACTCCCCCTGCTTCTGTTCCCTCTCTCACTGTCTCTCTCTCTCTCTGTCAAATAAATAAATAAAATCTTTTAAAAAAAGGCAAATAAACCTAAATTGTGAGAAATAACAATCTCCTATCTACTAAATTTTGGAAACAACAGCTATAATACACAGTAAAATAGTACAAAGAAAAAAAATATTTGGTAAGTCTGTCAGTTATACGCAGGTACTCAAATATTGATATTGTAAATGTTTAAATTATATGGGAAAAAAAGGATGTAAAAAGGTATGTTTATTAGAATTGTGCAAACAGACAAAGCAAGGAAAACAATACTAAAAATGAAAATAGCTACTGTGGTGAAGACAATGGAATGATCAGTGACTATTTTATTAGAAAAAAATTACTTGAATAATTAAAAGGATAAAGAGATTGTCATTCCATAGCTTGTCTGGAGGGAAGTTTCCTGAACAGGTCTTGTATTTCTTTCTTATGGTCACTTGTGCCTACAGTAAGTGCTCAATGTTTGTTGAATGGAGACAAAAACCTTTGAGAAGGTAGCTTAATGTTTCGAATATAACTAATACAAAATGCAATTTCAAAGTGATATAAGTACATAAATTTCATTATGTGAAACTGGTTCATTTTGTGCAAAGTTATTTCTATAAAGTGATTTAAAACCAAGTTTCAAAATGAGATGATCAGTATATAAATTCCACTCGATGAAAACATAGATTTGTGTAATTTGTATAGTCCTTCCTTATCCTCTCCAATGTATTTATATAGTTCATAAAATCATTGTATATTACGGTTCAAAAGAATCTTAAAATAACCCCTAGAATAAACATGGCATTTTAAAGATGTCAGAAGTGGGGAGAGAGACGGAAGCTCAGACACAGTGGGTCAGGATACCAGCTGTACAATCCAGTAAAGACAGGGCCAAAACCAGAACCACGCAGTACTGCCTCAGTCGGGGCATGACTTCGTTGGTAGAGTTTTCCAGCTAAGAGGTGCAGGCTTCTTGTTTTTGAATGATTGTTTCTATCAAAGATAACTTAGGAAAGGACTGGCATTTCCTACACAACAGCCATAGGAGAGAACGATTTGCTGCTGGTGTTGATACGGACTAGCTGTGAGATCTCAGACAAAGCCTCCCATTTACTGGGTCTCCGTATTTGTTTGTTTTTTTCCAGTTACAAAATGAGAGGAGTTAAGACTGATCTCCAACACCTCTTTCCAACACTGAAATACTGTAAATAAATACCTACCCCAACAATTTAGCAGCCAAATAGGGCTGTGCCAAGGTTTAAAGATTTTAGGTGAAAATAACATTATTTAGGAAAACTACATAAAAATTTTTTTGGAGTCAACTAAAATTCAAAAAAAAAAATCTGTTTTCAAACATGAATGTACTATTAAGGGAACATATAATACACAACTGGACCAACCTCCCCATTAAGTTCAAGGATTAGTTCCATTTCAGAGTCGTAAGGATGTGAAGTCACGTGTGTCAATTACTTTCTGCTCACTGATCATATAATAGATATTTAATAAATATCTGTTGAATGACCAAGATCTTTACCCGGATTATCTCATTTAATTTGAAGCAAAACTAAAATCTTACCAGATTCTTCAATTCTCTATAAATACTTACTAATGTCTGGTCTTGCTAAATCCAGTATTTCTAATTAGCAAATGAAATTGTTAGCTTAAAGTACAGTAAATGAGTAATTTAAAAATTATTTTAGTGATATTTAGTCTTTTAGTGATTTTCAAATACTCTGTTTCTCCTACGAGTGAGTATTCCCAGTATGGTCTAAAACCTATGGTTTTGTTAAAAAAATATTAAAAAGCTGAAAAAAATGTTTTCATTATTGCTGAAAGGCTGAAAGAATTGCTACTCAGCAACTCATGAAAGAAAAATTCCTATATGTGTCTCCTATGCATTTCTCTCTCCACTGTATCTAAACTGTGCTAAGAATGTTTAAGTCTCATGTCTATACATATTCTGCTCTTTTAAAAAAATATTTAATATGGGGCGCCTGGGTGGCTCAGGGGGTTAAGCAGATGTCTTTGGCTCAAGTCATGATCTCAGGGTCCTGGGATGGAGCCCCAGGTCATCAGACTCCCTGCTCAGGGGGAGTCTGCTTCACCCTCTCCCTTTGCCCCTCCTCCCAGCTTGTGTGCTCTCTCTCAAATAAATAAATAAAATCTTAAAAAAAAAAAAATATATATATATATATTTTATATGTACCTTAGCTCTGTCAGACCAGCCAAAAGACTGGACAGTGACATCCAAACGTTTTATTAGCAGCTTTCTCCGAACTTCATATTCATTGGCTATGGCTTGGTTAATTGCTTCTATCTTTTCCTAAAAAAGAAATTTAAAAGACCAGTTAGAATTTAAATGTGCTTGACCCCCTGGTTCCAAAACTGCAGAGACTGTGTCTGTTTCATTCATAAATGATTCCCCAGCACTTAGCACAAAGCATATTACCTAATATACTACTAAAAGTTATTTTAAGTTCATGAAATAATAGGCTAAATAATGTCTCGAAACATAATAAAGACTAAGTAGAGAATTCTCATTTAGCTTTCCCATAATTTGCTGTGTGAAGTTTAGCCCAATGACATTTTTGGCTTGAAGGCAACCCATTTGGCCATTAAAAACATACCGAACTTCAATTTATTTTGACCAGCTATGTGAAATATTTATAAATTACGAGATAAGTGTTTCTAATCTTACACAAGTAAAATTATTCCAAATAAATCTTCAGATTCACAAAAATGGACTCTAAGAATGTCCACCTAGGAAACTACATATTGGAAAACATAACCTAAACAGCACAAACTGTCAACATCATGAGATAAGTGGTTCTTTACCAGGACAACTCAAGATGACTGCTACTCACCCAGTGGGCTGGTCCCATTGGCTTCTTCAATAAAGGCTTTCCCACATGGTTAGGTGGAACTTTTGCTAATGTCTCCTTTAACTGACACAAACACATAAATGAATGAATAAACAAATCTAAAAGTACAACATATCCTCCTCATCTTCCCAATTCCCATCATATCTTGCCATCAAAAGAAGATTCCTGACAGAGGCAAAGGTGGAGGATGTTTTGAAATGTACAGGACCCACACGATAAAGACACTCACTTGTCCCACTCCTCACGTGCCTATGGAAGCATGATTCCTTCACTGTACCTAGAACAGTGCCTGACAACAGTAGGCACTCAATGTGTACTTGCTGAATGGATGAATGAACACACAGAAAAATATGGACTATGAATACAGTGCTGCTCCCCTGTAGAGTTCAGCCAAATTTGTGCATCATGGTGTCCATCTACCCCACAATGCAAATGTACCAATTCTTGGAGTCCAGCAGATATGCATACAGAGAGTAACTCTGCTATAACAAATACCATTCTCTTATATTCATTAATTTATTAAAATGGCTTACTCCTAGTCAATTATATTTTAAAAAACCTCTTAACTGTTAAATGTGTGGCATAAAAATAATTCTGAATTATTTTCACATACTAGATTATGTTAGCAGTCAACAAACCTAGTTTGCCAATTGAAACATAAGATTCAAAGTGACTGGATTAAAAATCAAAAACATTTACATCTTTTTCTGTCCAGTCAATGAAAGGAGGGTGGTAACATTTAATGATCAAGAACTTAAAAATGAATTGCGTTAAAGTTCAACGATAAAGCTTTAAAAAGGACTTAAGTCTTCATTCTTTTTACATTATACCTAGCTTATAAATCAAAGTGTAAAGTTTCCTTTTTGAAAGAGAAACATGCTGACAAGTTAAAAAAAAAAAAGTAACATACTAACTTCTCTTTAAGGTATCTAGAATTTAAAACCCAAAACTCATTTAGTAACAATTAATAATATGCACATTAGGTTCCCATTAAGAGAAATTAACTTGCTTCATTTCAAACAAATGTAGGACTATGCCTTTAATACACTACAATCTGGTACTAAAGGTCTTACTTTTTTTTCAATCCCGCTGAAGAATTGGAACATAGTTATATTGGCTGGAGGTTTGGACATTCCTAGAGCAATACATATGCCTTTCAACTCTTGAAAGACCTCACTACCGCCTCCTTCTTGAGCTTTTTTTGGAGGAGTATTCACACAGAGCATTCTGGCAGCTTCTAGTTCTGAGATGAGGTATGCTGAAGTAAACAAAATAAGATTTCAAAATGAGATACAGCTACAGTTAATAGTCATAAGTCTGGAGTCACAACTCTATAGACCTAATGATACGTAACTTTTAAAGCTGCAAGAATGGATAAAAACAAGAAAAAAAAAACCATTTTTACCTGCAAATGACATAACATATAAACTGGTTCTGAAATTCAGGTATTTAATCAATATATGTTTAAAGGGTAACTTATAAATAAGTGATTCTTCTCTGAAACGAAAGTATCAAGGTAGATCACGTCTCAAAATCTGGATTCTTATATCCTACTATTCAGGAACTCCAGAACAGGGGCTGGCATCTGTTAACAAATTTACAAAAGGTGGAAGGTGGCCAATCTTCGGCAACAGTTAGAACCGGTTATTATTATTATTTTACTTCTCACCACTGACATGCACCAGTGATATAACTCTCTTGCTCTCTTACCTTCCAATACTTAGGCAGTCTGTTCAGAACTGGCATGAAACATTTTCAAGTGGTCAAAACTTACAAAAGGGGGAAGACATGAAACTCCCCAAAGCTCCTTTCTCATGGCTTCCAGTAGCCTAATGCCACCCTCTCTGTTTAAAGAAAACCCTCTTCCATCCAAGTTCTCAGTATTCACTTTCCCTCTACCTTCCTCATTCTCTCCCCCCTCCCCACTCCTGAAAAACAACATCAATAAAACTTTCTGATCTTTTCTTGACAGAGTTCTTTTGTATCAATATCATCCCCTCATGTGTTGATTTCAGCCAGGCATAATGAGGGCTGCAATCTGCTTCAGGTAATTGAAGGTATAAATATTTAATCTTATTCCTTTAACTTTCCCAAGGACATTTAAATTTTTATGAAAGATGATTAATAACCATTGGGAGCTCAGGATTTTGGGTGAGAACCTTCTGACAACATTAGATAGTTTTGGAAAAAGACATTTTCTGGGCTCTTAAGTCTCATAAAAAGTTTAAAAGAATGATCAGCTTGACTATCTCATTTCCTACACCCAAGGTGTAATGTTAGAACAATAAATACAGCAAGTTTCTGGAAAGGTCATTCTAAACGGCTGAAATCTTAATGTGTTCCATATAGCAAACTGTAGGAGTTAAAAGATCAAAAAGTAAAATTCCACTGTCATGAAAATAACCACTGTTTTTCTAAATATGGTTTTACTGGAACATTACCACACTCATTTCCATAATCTCTATGGCTGGTACATGCTACAACAGCGGAGGTTAAACAGTTGTGACAAAGACCTTCCGACTCACAAAGCTGAAAATATTTACTGTCCCATCCTTTAAAGAAAAAGTCTGCCAACCCTTGTTCTAGAAAATCATATGATTTAATAAACCGGTTCTCTAAATTTGGGACAACATTAACTCAGGCATCCAAAAATTAGTTCACCAATACAATTACCATCAGAAAACATTATCTGTTACTGATGTGTTCAAAGTACTAGGAAGGGCACTGGAGATATAAAAACAAAACAGATGATCTCTACTGACAATCTAGTTAGGAATAAAGAATATATGCATTCATGATGAATAATTCTTCATCTATTAGGAACTCAGAATCTGAGGTTTTTGTTTGTTTGTTTACCTAAGGGAAATAATCTGACAACCAGAGAGGCAATGAACAGTCAAAACTTCTTAACCAGACACAGGAGAGTCTTTTAGCCACTCATTCAAAGACTATTCTATTTTACTAACAATTCTAATGAGATTGGTTATTTCCCCCCTTGGAACACAACATATTAAAAGATTCAAATCAGTAAGGTAGAGGGTGCTGGAGAAATAAGTAAAATTATAGCATCAAGAGGTGACAACTGATACTTGGAAAGATGAGAAATATTTACACAGAGTGAACAGAGAATGAGCATATAAATGCTAGCATGACAGAGAGAATAGAAACTGAGGGGAATATTTTAAAGGGGAAACAGCAGAAGCAAAGATAAAGAGGAATGAACAGTGTATGTGTGCATGAATTCCAAGAGCAGCATAACCTTCAGTTGGTTTTAGTCATTTAGTTGAGAAGCAAATAGTTGTATATTACTGAAGAGCTTCTGAGGTGATAGCATATTAAAATGAAGTCTATAAATTGTAACCCTGATCCCAAAATAATATTCAGTGCAGTCTTAAGTAACAGGAAGGAGTCAAAGGCATTTTATAAAGTGGTTTTTGTAAGCAGGAACACTAAAAAGGCCAAACTCTTAGTTCTTTGAAAGAATTATTTATGGTCATTACTAAGCTCTCCATGAAGTTCTTATCTTCCTATGTAAGATAACATATCCTGAGTGCCAAAGATTAGGTTTTGGTAGAATGAGTGAGTACACTGTCACTGAGCCAGTTCTAGAAATCACACAATTTGAAGGATACTGAATGCATGCATAAGAACATGCAGCAGTATCAGTATTTAAAGCAGTATCTGATCTTATGTGCCTACCTCCCAACCCCCACAATCATTCAACAAAGGGGAAATTATGTAAGTGATTCTGGAATAACTCAGTGCCTGGGTATAGTGGTGATGAATACCTTTTTTAAAAAAACGAACCTTCAAAATTGGAGCTCATTTTTCAGAAACCAGTACAGTTGTAAAGATAATTTTAAAAATCCTCTGAACTGTGTCATAATAAGAACTATAATATTCAGTTAACTAAAGCTTAATCTAAATGTGTCTCAGACTGCTACAAAAATTGTGAGTTAAGACTATTGGTTGTGTTTACAGGAGAATTCATTTAAGGCAATAAAATTTGTGAGTCTACTTACTGTTTCTCAGGGTGAAGAAAGGAATGTAGTTAGTATATAAAAAACATGGAAGGAAAGAATTTTCGTAACAATTTCCCAGAATGATCAATAAGCACAGGAACAATTCAAATACTATTCCAGAAAATTTTATACTGTAATTTGATATATTTACAAACAAAACCAAAATCCCCAATTACCCAACCACAAAGAAATACCCACAATATAAAACACTTTAATTTTATTAAAAAATCTTCATTATTCCCACACTACTTTCCTAGTCTATTTTAAAATGTGCTTCCAGTTTAGAACGCTAAGGTTTAATGATCACACACTTGGACACTCGGCGCTAACTTTGGTCATATTAGGTGAAGCGCAATAGTACCAGCAAAGTTAAATGATAAAAGAGTAGTAATTACAAAACAAACGCTGCTACCAGTGCATAGGCCCACCATTAGCTTCTAAGTTGGAAATGTAATAGTTTTCTTTAAGTAGCATTTTGAATTAAATCCGTAATGAAATAGTACAACAGCCAGTTTATTAGTCAAAGAAAACATGAATAAAAAAGTAATAGCTACATTCTAGTAGCCATGAACTTACTGAGCAAAAGGAGGCAGTTCTTCTGAACGAGAAGGCGCTTGGTCACATCACCAGATGTCAGTGATAGATATGGACAGTTCATCTCCCCTAGTAGCCCACTCACCTCAAGCTGGAATTCTTCAGCTTCACTCGGGCCTTTTAAGAATTAAAATAACTTTAATAAAAATGACTGTTTTTCCCTTTAGCATAAAAGTTACATATAAACAGAAAGTTTTAATAGGATTTTCCTAGTACAAGTTACTTTGACTTCTAATTCATCCTTTCTCACACCACTGCCAATTTTCTTAATAAGTTTTCATTACGTTAGTCCCTTTTTTGAGAATCTTTAATCGTTTCCTAATTTCTACCCCATCTAATCTAATTATTTGTCTGCCTTTAAAGATTTCTTCATAGCCTCTATGCTTTACCTTCCCTTGCATATTACTATAGTAGTACCTATGACACGTATGTAGTAGTTACATTTTACCTTCAAAAATATTCTATTTGTGCCAGGCCAGCCTCCCCACTGTCCCAAGAACACTGTCATTTCCACTTCTGTGCCTTCATTTAAGTTATTCCCTGTGACTGATAGACCCTCTACTTTCCCTTCATCTATCAAATCCCACCTCTCCATCAAAGCCCACCGGCTCCTTGATAAGACCTTCCCAAGTCCTGTTGCACTCAATGATTTCCTCCCCCTGTGAACCACAAAGTGAAGCATTTAATTACTGTACTAATCTCCAGTTTCATTTGTGCCTAATATTCCCAGTGAGATTAAATTTGAAGTTAGCAAACATGACTTGTAGTTCTATATTCCCAAACATGTTAAGTACCGAGTTCATCTTGTGAACCACGGAGAAACAATGCTCCTTCTTCCTTACTTTTCTGATGGTTCTCTATCACACAAGGGCAAACTTTGAGTCACTTGACCTGGGTCCATTTTCTTTCTTCCTTTCTTTTTTTTTTTTTAAGATTTTATTTATTTATTTGCAAGAGAGAGAGAGAGGGAGAGCTAGAGAGAGCGAGCACGAGCAGGACGGAGATGGAGAAGCTGACTCCCCGCTGAGCAGGAAGCCTGATGCGGGACTCGATCCCAGGACCCTGAGATCATGACCTGAGCCAAAGGCACTTAACTGACTGAGCCACCCAAGCGCCCTGGGTGCATTTTCTCATCTGTAAAATGGGAAGGCTGTATTATCATTGTTTTGCAAACTGTTCTGTGAACTCAAATTCCACAGAACTCCTTTAGAAACAGCTGGGGAGGATGAGGAGAGAGTTGTGCAAAAAGTACTCCCTCTTAATTTCAACTAAACAGGTACACTGTTAACTGTTTTGTATGTTGGCTTCTATGTTTTCATGTGAACAAAGGGGTTCCAGGTTATAAACAGTTATCATCTACTATAGGTGTTTTCACAAGTTCCTACAATCTCTGAAATGTTAGGTCAAGAGGCAGTGTTAAAGAGTACTGGTTCCCAAACTTGACTGCTGGGGTTGAATTCTGGCTGTATCACGTACTAGTTGTGTGACCTCAGGCAGTGCATGTAACCTAGCTGTGCTTCCTTGTTTAATGTATAAAAGAGTAATAAAACCTACCTCAGGTTTTAAATGACTTAACACATGGAAACTGCTTACAACATATTGTTTAATAAATGTAAGTTGCTGCTATCATTACTGTTACACGACAGTGTCCTTAGTAATTAGAACTGGCTGCAACTAACATGCGCACATTAAATATACTGAACATGCAAGAAAATGAGCTCTTCAATACGCGATTCTGTGTGGGGGGAAAAAAAAGGGATTATGTGTATAGTTCTCCATGAGGGGAGGTTAACTAGAGAGCATTTTTCTTTGTCTCCTATTGTAGGTTTACCTATAGTAGGAGGGAACCAGAGGGTGGGGTGTTGGGTTCCAAGCTTTTGTCTCTTTTGCAGAGTCAACAAACTAGTGCTAATACAATAACAAAATTGGCAAATATAAAACAGCTCTCAACACCATAAATCTGATGGAGCTGCATCTGGTTGTGATGGATCTAGTGATACATTCCTAACTTCTTAAGTGTTCTCTTTCTCCCCATGCATAACAGAATTATAATGCATTTCCCTTACATGCTATATGTACTTCTGGAATCTAAGAAAAACATCCCAATTTCCAGTTCTAGCCACCGATTTAAGAACTAACAAGCCATGTTTCACAAAGAATGGAAAGTTCATATATGCTATACTTGTCTCCCATTTCTGTATTTGAGTAATAAGGTCTTTTCAACTACCACAATGTTTTAGTAGTTGCACAACTATAATCTGTTTTCTCAACTTCCAAAATCACTTTATCTCTATAAATAATGGAGGAAAGAAAAGTATTTGGGTTTCTTTATAAATCTTTTTTTTTTTTTTTAATTTACAAAGAACTTAACACTTCAGGTTTAGTACTAATAATGTTCAACTGACAATACCCCAATTTTACTTTTATATTTTGTACCTAAAACTGAATGTTTACTTACTGTTAGTTGCTTGCACATTTTCCTCTAATTTACAGAACACTCTTAATTCGGACACCAGCCAAGCACAGAGTTTGGTAAACTCGGGGGAACTGGCTCCAGCAGAGACTGCCTGAGACAGAGCGCCATCTTCCAACAATGGACCCTTGTAACTGGTGAGTAAAAAATTATACTTCAGAAGAATATAAAATCACACCTAATATTTTATACAAACACTATGTATTATTTGTATGAATAAACAATCGTTTCATAAGTTATGATGACCACTCTGCAAACTTACAGATGTAAATAAAATTTATAGAAAACTAAATCTAAAATTTAAATTTTAATCTAATAAGAGCTATTAGAAAAATAAGTTACATAACTGCATTTCCACCCTTCAAAATATATATAAATATTTAAGAGACTCATATACTACTAAATTATGTCAACCTCTATACATTATACTGAAAGCTCTTGCTGTACAAGGATTTTCTTACTTTAACCGAACTGAATATTAAAACCACATTAACAAGAGATAGCTGATTATACTATAGTTTACGATTTAAGTTACCTTTTCTAGAAATCAATTAGCAATGACTTTTTTTACTTTTTTTGAAAGCAAAAACTTTCCAGCTAATTATTTATTTCCTTTTTCCATATCTGATGACAGTTAAGGCTATTAAGACATACTAGTACCAGAGAAATGTCTGAATTAATTTAAAAGATTAATAATTGCTGGCAAGTTGATGTCTGGGTGAACTGGTGCATCTGAATCCTCTGAAAGTGATTCAAGCATAATTTTAAAGTATTATTAAATATGCAAACATTCATAAAAGACAATAGTAATAATGAACCCCAACCTAGAATACAGCTAGAACTAAAGATCCTGTCATTTTCAGGGTAATTTTAAAATATATATTCTCCAGAAGATTATTTTATCTTTTAACTGAAATATTGATAAAAACTTATGGAAGATGAAACATTAAATATACTTAAGATAATTTGATGTTTGGAAGTATAGAGATGTTAGAGAAATGACAATACTTGATTCTTTTAAAATGCACCTATGTTTTTCTACACTGATGGAATGGAAAAAATCTTACACAAAAAGTGAGATTATATATAGTCTGGCATCTAGATTCAAAACCACACATAATTAGACATTGCAATAAAGAGACTAGGCCTAGAAATCTCTCCTTGTGTTACACATTCATAATTTGTTAGTTTATTCTACAAGTAGTTATTGAATTCCTACTGTGTGCCACATTAAAGATAAAAGTCATTTAAAATTTTAGTATTTCTCAGTGAATCCTTTAAATGTACATGTCAATTAATTATGAATTTTAATGATTGAGTGCCACCAAACTAATTGGTTAGGCTTAAAATTCATAGCAAAGTTTTCAGAAAATCTGAAGGTTTACATTACAACTCATCTAGAATATTTACTTGATTTACAATTATTATAGTAAAAATTACTTTTTTTAGTACTCCAGAAAAGAAAAAAAATACAGATTAAAGGGCAGAAGAACAATAATGGGAAGACACAGCATCCATCACCAATTGCTAGGCAACATCTACCCAAGCAGCACAACCACATTTAAATAAGGCTCCCTTCTCCTCTCATTTTACTACTCCTTCAATGCTAACCCTAAGTGTCATTTCTTCTAGGAAGCTTTTAGGACTTCATTCTTTCCAAGTAAAGGGACCTTCCTCAGTTCTCCTCACAGAATATTCTGACAGTGTGAACTTCTTTTCCACCTCACTTTGACCCATAAATGATCAGCCCAACACTGCCAAGGGGCAAGTGTTCCTCAAGAAAATGTTTACTGAATGAATGGATTTATATGTGAGCAAGCAATTTAGTCTGAGATGTCCACCAAAGAGACCATTTTGCTGAATGTGACTTTTACCTATGCTCTAATCAAAGAAATAAGTCCCCTAAAGTCTGAAATATTCATGAAAATTCAGAGCAAGTTCCAAAAAAAAAAAAAGAACAATGGTAACTCACTTTAAGAAAAAAGATTTAAGCACTACCACTTCTTCTCCCAAGAATTTCTATCAGGACAGCAATGACTTAAACGGGCAGACTCTGAGAACCTCACGGTGTCCTTTCCTAAAAAAGGTTCCCCCAAAGGTTTCCATGTCACAGAAAAACCTTCGAGGAAGGTTTTGATAAAGGACTTGCTACTTTATAAATTTAGCTAGCTAAATCTATCTATATATATTTTGGACACCATTTACCTGTAGACAAATATTTAATCACACAATGTGTTTCTGGAACCACATTTAGACCAAAAGGTTCTAAATTCTCAAGTTTTAAAGAGTACACTAATCTCAGTGACCCAGTGAGGTAAGAAGCCCTATTTCCAGCTTCTAGGTACTAAATTATGGTTGGGTAATTGTCAGAAGAGAGGAAATGCACAACACACACGTAGGGACTTGGTGGCTGAAGATGCCTCTAGGGTAAGGGCTAATGGTGACTCGACGAAGCAGAGTGTCACTGTCAAGGGAAACAGCCAGTGAATGGCTCCCATGAAGGTGGTGACAGGTGAGGCGCATAAGTAAGCGGGCTAGCGGAACGGATGCAGGCATGTGGCTCAGGGAAGCCTGAGTGCATGCAGACATGACTGGGCAAAGGAGATTTTTTGAGAGAAACGGGTGGGGTAGGAATAGGGGCTCAAGAGAGGAGCAGGAAGTTTGGAGGACAGCTACGAAAAAAAGAGAATCAACTTCGGCAACCTCTTGAGTGAGGGGGCAGGGCAAGAGGATGGGGAGCAAGAAGAGAAGCTCGGGGAGGGGGGTGGCGAGAAGCCAGAGCCCAGACAATGACACGCATGACTGACAAACGCTGCGGGTAACTCGGCTTCAGGGAGCACAGGGAAGGCCTAGGGTCGTCGCTTTAGAAGGGCCCCGACCCGGCAGGGCAGACAGTGGACGTGGCATTGGGGTCCCGGAGCCGTAAGGAGGCGACAGTCAGGAGCCACCGGGTGCGGCGTGCAGAGGCAGGTGTCCCCGACTGGGGCGGAGGAGGTGTTCCCGGGGGCCGGCAGTGTGAGGTTTAGGAGACCCGTACCCTGGCAGTCTTACCCTAGATCTTCCAACGACTCCAAGATGTCAGTCTCCATGAGGTCACACTCCATGCTACTGTGGTATTCAAATTTCCGAGTCGTCAGGCTCCCCTCTTCGCCGGCAACGCGTACACTCGCGCATGCGCTGCCCTCCCCCCCGGAACTTCCAAATCGACAGCTGGCGCCTCAGCCGCTGCACTGCGCATGTCCCGAGCGTGCGCAAGAAACTCGGTCCCGCCTACCGCCCCACCCCTGCCGGCTAACGGGTTGCCGTGCGGCACAGTCTTACACATGCGTATTACTGGATAGAGAAGCCGGCGGCCCGAAGAAGGGCAGGAGGACCGGCTGCGTGGCATCTGGGCGTGGGGACCCACATCGAGGGGGAGCGGTCTAACCTCTCTTAATTGGGTGTACGCATGTGCGAATTTGGGGCGAGGCGGGCGCGGGAGGAGCTTGGGGAGGGGGGGTTCTCGAGACTTGGTGGGTGTCGGCTGTGAAAACGGAGTCTCCGGATCCCTAGGAGTCACCCGAGTGGATCCCCGCAGCGTGCTGGCGTGTTCTCGCCTGAGCTGTGGGTCGTGCCGAAAGGGAAAACTCCAGTCTAATTCCTTAGGACAGGCGTGGACTGGCCAGTGCCGAGGACGGCACAAACCATGCCATCTGATTACCTTGTGGCTGCAGAAGCTTTATTTCAGGATTAGAGAGGCGTCAACTTTCCGTTGACACGGATGTGTTCGGAAAGTTGTTTCATTCCCCCTGTTGCTTTCTCTCCCTGATTTCTTAAGCCCTTTCCAGACATTTTATTCCCAGGCGTCCTCTATTTTAAAGAGTTGGGCGAGGGTAGGGGGGCATTCATTCCATATCAGATAGAATAGCATATATTTAAATCCACACAATTTAAACAGCGAATAAACTTTTTGTTTTTGACGTTTGGCTCCTGTGACATTTCAACTCACGAAGGCTTATGCTTCCTTGTCAGTTATTGATTGGGTACGTACTTAGAAATTATTGATAAATGAGGGAAATTGTTTCAGAGTGATGGCACATTTAGAAAATTACATTTAACCATGAGTTGGCATAATGCTGAATTGTGTAGGCATTTAAAGAATTTTCACACTCTGCCAGTAAATTTTATTTTGTAGTTTTCAAACATTTTTGTGTCTAATGGCTAAATGCCCCTATTCTTAACAGTACTCCTTTTTTAGTTCCTTATTTTGCATTATCTGGAGTGGGGAAAGGAATTAATGTTTATTATGTACCTATGCTGGGTTTGACATGGTTATTATTGATCCATATTATTTTATGCAACCATAAGCCTGTGTATTACTCCCGTTTTACAGGTAATGACACTAAGGCTCAGTAGCTTAACGATCTGTCAAAAATTATAAGGCCATTAAGGAACTGGATTTTGAGACTCACCCATATCTGAATCCATATTCCTTCTGATTTGACTAGTTAAATAAGGATTTATATGTAGGATATGAAAAAATAGAAAGATGTAGCTAGTAGAGTTTGTTGAACCCTGTATATATTGTACAAATTACCTAATTATAATGAAAATGAAATAATTATTTGTTCCTATAGGGTTGTTGAAGATGCTAACAAAAAGTAATGCTTAGTGCAAAATCAACTGGGGAAAATAAAGGGTATCATTCTTGACTCACTTTTTGATGTAATAATGCTTTAAAAAGTAAATATTGTCATAATTTCTATAGGATCTTCTAGGAATCTTGTGCATTTTATTTTGAAATTGTTTATATTGTAAACTTGGTATCTAAAGACCTCATTCAAGCTGAATTTAATAGAATGAAAAGAACACTGATCTGGGAGTTAAGGAGCCCTGGTTTTGGCGTCAGATCAGTACAAGAATGAATTTTATAGGGGCGCCTGGGTGGCTCAGTCGTTGGGCGTCTGCCTTCGGCTCCGGTCGTGATCCCAGGGTCCTGGGATCGAGCCCCGCATCGGGCTCCTTGCTCCGCGGGAAGCCTGCTTCTTCCTCTCCCACTCCCCCTGCTTACGTTCCCTCTCTGGCTGTCTCTCTGTCAAATAAATAAATTTTTTTTTTAAGATTCTACTTATTTATTTGTCAGAGAGAGAGCACAAGCAGGGAGAGCGGCAGGCAGAGGGAGAAGCAGGCTCCCTGCTAAGCAGGGAGCCTGATGTGGGACTCGATCCCAGGACCCCAGGATCATGACCTGAGCCGAAGGCAGCTGCTTAACCCACTGAGCCACCCAGGCGTCCCAAATAAATAAAATCTTAAAAATAAAATAAATGAATTTTCTAATACTTAAAGGTATCTGAAGTCCATCAGGTATTTATGGGAGATGATGAGTTTTCTGTGTAGAAGGTGTTCAGCTAGAGGCTAGATGATGACTTGTTGAGGGTGCTCTTGTGAGGAGGCATGGGACTATTTACTAACCCTGATAACCTTTGATTAGATTCTTACCCAAAAAGAATGTAAAATACCAATTAAAACCCCTTCTAGTTCCTATCACTGGGGAGGGCTGGTTGCGGTCTGTTTTAGTTTCCTGTGGCTGCTGTAACAGGTGGCTGCTGTAACAGGTGGCCACAAATTTAGTGGCTTACAATAAGACAAGTTGATTAACCTTCAGTTCTGAAGGTCAGATGAGAGAGCACGAGCAGGGGGAAGGGCAGGCAGAGGGAGAGGGAGAAGCAGGGCAGAGGGAGAGGGAGAAGCAGACTCCCTGCTGAGCAGGGAGCCTGACGTGGGGCTCCATCCCAGGACCCTGGGTCATGACCTGATTCGAAGGCAGCTGCTTAACTGACTGAGCCACCCAGGCACCCCTCTTTTTTTTTTTTTTTTTTTAAGGTTTTATCTGTTTATTTGAGAGAGAGAGGGAGAGCATGAGTTGGGGGGAGCAGAGGGAGAGGGACAAGCAGACTCCCTGCAGAGCAGGGAGCCAGACGCGGGGCTCAGTCCCAGGACCCCGGGATCATGAATTGAGCAAAAGGGAGATGCCCAACCAACTGAGACACCTCTCCACCCCGAGAGAGAGAATATTAAGCAGGCTCCATGCTGAGCATGGAGCCCAACTCAGGGCTGGATCTCACAACCCCGAGATCATGACCTGAGCTGAAAGCAAGAGTCTGACACTTAACCTACTGAGCCACCCAGGCGCCTTGTTTATTTATATATTTATATATTTATTTATTTATTCATTCATTCTAGGTCTTTCTGAATAAAAGCTCCAAACCTGATTTCTGTTGTCTACCCAGTGATGCTTCAGCCTGGTTGCCATGTCCTGCCAACATGTAAATCAGGCACATGGTGAACCAGACAGACCCTGGTCTAATTTCGGTGCAGTAAAGAGTTTTTTAGACTCTAGCCCAGAGGTGATAAACTAGTATCCAAATCAGCCCAAGAGTCATTTTTTGTTTGGACTAACTGATGTTTTAAAGAATTTTGAGTCATTTAAAAGTATGAAGATATTATCTAAAAATCTAGATTGCTGTGTTTTCTTGAAAATGTAAATCAGGTAACTCGGCAGCACTGGGCTCCTAATGCCCATCAAGGCAATAATTGGCTTGGGTTGAGAAGGCTGCCCCTTATAGATTTGGCATGAATCTACCAGTTCTCTATGGTTTTGGGATCCTATCACTCACACAATATATGAAATACACGTTCACCCAGCAATTTACTTGCCTTCCTCTGAGTTTGGGATTTCCAATTCTTTTTATTCCTTTACTTCTTAATCCTGTTGATACTTCTCCTACCCTACCTCTCATAGGGCTCCTCTCCTTTCTCCTCTGCTTATTCTAGTGTAGGGGAAGAAAAATTTTTTCCTCTGCCCTCTCAGTTAATGAATGGGTCCTATAAATTAAACTGACAAAGACAGATTAACAGGAGAAAAGGCATACACATTTTTATTAATGTTACTTTTTTTTTTTTTTGAATGTTTATGGTACTTCACGGGAAAGAAGTGAAAACTCCAAAAAGGTAGTTAGACTATACCATTTTAACAATGAGTGATAAATTGTGGAGAAGTGATTACAAAGAGAAGGGATTGAGCTCTTGGGGTGGTAAATTGTGGGAAGGTAAGTATATGGGGGGAACTAATGGAAGATAAGGGTTATTTTAGAAAGGTTTGTTTGTGCAGACTCAGCTTGGTGCCAACTTTCTTCATGGCCATAAAACTCTCCTGGGGTGGGGTTAATGGCAGGTCTAGTTTCTCAGAAGTTTCTGTTTGTAATCAGTTAACGGAAGCTCTGAGAAGACTTCTTTCTGCAACTGTTGAGTCTCAATTGCCTTCAGCTTAAAATAATCCAAATGCCAAAGTGGCATATTTTGATTCTTTTCACTAGTCACACGGAACTTCTACTATTCACTTAACATACCTTGCCCTTCCATTCCTCTGTACTTTGTACAAGTTGTTTCCCCTGCCTGGAATCCCCTTTCCCTCATTCTCTGACTGGCAGCTCAGTCTTTTAAGACTCAGTTTGGGGGAAGCCTTCCCTCACTGCCCTAGGCACTCATTCTCTACCTCTCAAAGATTCCTTAGCGCTTCGTCCCAGATAACATTCCTGTTCCAGACAGGTGAACATAGATCCCCTCTGCTCTCTCTGCTACTTTGCTTACATTCTACCAGATCCTCAAGGTTTAGTTCAGCTTCACTGCTCCGCAAAGAAGGTGCTCTCTCACTGCACCAATTAAAATAAATTTTCCTCTTTGGATTTCTAAGGTGGTGGTGCCTAACTTGACTGACTATCATAACTATCTGGGGGACTTAAATGCAGATTCTTGGGCCTTGCCTCTGATGCATCTTATGTCAACATTTCTGGGGTCGATTTAGAAATCTATTTTTCTTAAAACCACCTCAAATGGTTTCATAATTAGTCCTTCATAATTTAACATATATTAATGTCATATTTTTATATTGCTTATTTAATATGTTCTGATCTTTTCTATCCAGTTGCGATAAAACCATGCATATCCTACATACTGTTTAGTACATTGATGCATACACAATAGGCATAAAAATGTTGATTATTTGATTGACAAGAAAATGTTTCCTTTCTCATGACCAGATTTTGCTTTCTTCTGAAAGAATAAAGTGATTCTTTTCAGGGCATAAATAAATATACAACGATGAATTATGCTCTGAGCTCTTGTATCATCCTGGAACTCAGTCAATGCCTATTTAAAACTAGGCTGTTCTGGTAGGATGG